CGCCGCAGGTGAAGGAGGAGCCACAACCCGCTCAGACTCCCTCAGAATCCGTAGAGAACCGGCCGAAGATCTTCCAGGGAGACAGAATTCACGAACAAATTCCGAAGCATCTGTTTATTTTGACGTCGGAGGAGAGGAAGCAGCCATCATTTCCCTCAGAGTACACCGCTTCCTCAAAGACAACCTATTTTCCATTACTGAAGGAAATTGATACAAATTTCAGGCCCTCATTAACTTTTCCTTTCCTAGAAGTATCAATAGAAGAGCCTCATAGTTCCATGACATTTCTTAAGCCTCGGACACCCGTGGCAACCTCGATCCCTGACACGCAGCCCCTTCGCTACGTGGCGTCCGCTTCTGATGTCTTTACCGTTAAGCCGCTCAGATTAGATTCTGGCATTTTTTTACATAACGTTGCTTTCCGAAATTCGAAGGCTGACCAACACCCAAGCAAGACTCCAGTACCAAAAATTGTGGGACTCAATGAGGAGAAAGAGAACCCTGAAAATTACAAACCTCAAAAGCCTGTATCTGATAGGAAAACCTTTCGGTTTGACCAAGAATTTTTAGCTCTTCTAAGAAATTATAATTCAACGGAGAGAGATGAAGACAACAAAGCGGAGCCTTCCTCTGCAGCTAACTTCTGGTCCGGCCACCAGGGTGAGAACCCAGCAGACAACCAGGGTGAGGGCCCAGCAGACAACCGGGGTGAGGGCCCAGCAGACAACCAGGGTGAGGGCCCAGCAGACAACCAGGGTGAGGGCCTAGCAGACAACCAGGGTGAGGGCCCAGCAGACAACCGGGGTGAGGGCCCAGCAGACAACCGGGGTGAGGGTCCAGCAGACAACCGGGGTGAGGGCCTAGCAGACAACCGGGGTGAGGGCCCAGCAGACAGTGTCTGGCGCCTGAAGGGTGCTGCTCGATCTTCCTCCACAACGAACTCAGCCAAGGAGGACGCATTGCTTCACGACCGTCTGCTGAACTTGCGAGGTGGCTTTGCAGAATCACTTCGTGGCCTGATGGCACCTGCAACTAAGAGCGTGAGTCTAACAACTCTTGCAAGAGTAGCTGAAGCTCCGCGAATAATATCAGTTGGAGAGGTGGGAGAATTGCCCCATCAAGCACTCCAGCAGCCATTGTTAGCCGCTCTCAAACAGGGCAGCCAAAGTCTTCACGTCAGCACTTGGGTGTCTGCCTGTCCCAAACTTTATGACAAGGTGGAGCTCAACTGTGCCATCCACCGGGACGCTCTCGTTGCTACTGCTCTTGTGAGTATTGATCAGCACTCAGGTGTTGCTCAGCACATCTGAGCACTCAGGTGTGCTGAGCACGTTTATCGTTCATACCGAAGCTACCTCACATTGTCTCTTCCTCAGCAGATGTGTGTGTGTGTGTGTGTGTGTGTGTGTGTGTGTGTGTGTGTGTGTGTGTGTGTGTGTGTGTGTGTGTGTGTGTGTGTGTGTGTGTTTAACATGTGTACAAGTGTTTCTCCCAGCTAGGCCTAAGCATGTGGACACTTCTGAGTGGAAACCAACCAAACGTTGCATGAAGGTCCCTTATGATGTTCAGTCTACCTCACATGTTCCCCTTATGATGTTCAGTCTACCTCACATGTTCCCCTTATGATGGTCAGTCTACCTCACATGTTCCCCTTATGATGTTCAGTCTACCTCACAGGTCGTTCCCCTTATGATGTTCAGTCCACCTCACAGGTCGTTCCCCTTATGATGGTCAGTCCACCTCACATGTTCCCCTTATGATGGTCAGTCCACCTCACAGGTCGTTCCCCTTATGATGGTCAGTCCACCTCACATGTCGTTCCCCTTATGATGGTCAGTCCACCTCACAGGTCGTTCCCCTTATGATGGTCAGTCCACCTCACATGTTCCCCTTATGATGTTCAGTCCACCTCACATGTTCCCCTTATAATGTTCAGTCCACCTCACAGGTCGTTCCCCTTATGATGTTCAGTCCACCTCACATGTTCCCCTTATGATGGTCAGTCCACCTCACAGGTCGTTCCCCTTATGATGTTCAGTCCACCTCACATGTTCCCCTTATGATGTTCAGTCTACCTCACATGTTCCCCTTATGATGTTCAGTCTACCTCACAGGTCGTTCCCCTTATGATGTTCAGTCCACCTCACAGGTCGTTCCCCTTATGATGGTCAGTCCACCTCACAGGTCGTTCCCCTTATGATGTTCAGTCCACCTCACATGTTCCCCTTATGATGGTCAGTCCACCTCACAGGTCGTTCCCCTTATGATGGTCAGTCCACCTCACAGGTCGTTCCCCTTATGATGTTCAGTCCACCTCACAGGTCGTTCCCCTTATGATGGTCAGTCCACCTCACAGGTCGTTCCCCTTATGATGGTCAGTCCACCTCACATGTCGTTCCCCTTATGATGGTCAGTCTACCTCACATGTTCCCCTTATGATGGTCAGTCCACCTCACAGGTCGTTCCCCTTATGATGGTCAGTCCACCTCACAGGTCGTTCCCCTTATGATGGTCAGTCTACCTCACAGGTCGTTCCCCTTATGATGGTCAGTCTACCTCACAGGTCGTTCCCCTTATGATGTTCAGTCTACCTCACAGGTCGTTCCCCTTATGATGGTCAGTTTCCCTCACAGGTCGTTCCCCTTATGATGGTCAGTCTACCTCACATGTTCCCCTTATGATGGTCAGTCCACCTCACAGGTCGTTCCCCTTATGATGGTCAGTCCACCTCACAGGTCGTTCCCCTTATGATGGTCAGTCTACCTCACATGTTCCCCTTATGATGGTCAGTCCACCTCACAGGTCGTTCCCCTTATGATGGTCAGTCCACCTCACAGGTCGTTCCCCTTATGATGGTCAGTTTCCCTCACAGGTCGTTCCCCTTATGATGTTCAGTCTACCTCACATGTTCCCCTTATGATGGTCAGTCCACCTCACAGGTCGTTCCCCTTATGATGGTCAGTCTACCTCACAGGTCGTTATGATGTTCAGTCCACCTCACAGGTCGTTATGATGTTCAGTCCACCTCACAGGTCGTTATGATGTTCAGTCCACCTCACAGGTCGTTATGATGTTCAGTCCACCTCACAGGTCGTTCCCCTTATGATGTTCAGTCCACCTCACAGGTCGTTCCCCTTATGATGTTCAGTCCACCTCACAGGTCGTTATGATGTTCAGTCCACCTCACAGGTCGTTATGATGTTCAGTCCACCTCACAGGTCGTTATGATGTTCAGTCCACCTCACAGGTCGTTATGATGTTCAGTCTACCTCACAGGTCGTTATGATGTTCAGTCCACCTCACAGGTCGTTATGATGTTCAGTCCACCTCACAGGTCGTTATGATGTTCAGTCTACCACATGTGTTCACCTAGTTGTGTTTGCGGGGGTTGAGCTTTGCTCTTTCGGCCCGCCTCTCAACTGTTTACTATTTTTTTTTCCACACAACACTCACAAGCAGCCCGTGACAGCTGAGTAACTCCCAGGTACCTATTTACTGCTAGGTAACAGGGGCATTCAGGGTGAAAGAAACTTTGCCCATTTGTTTCTGCCTGGTGCGGGAATCGAACTAGAGCCACAGAATTACGATTCCTGCGCGCTATCCACCAGGCTACCAGGCCCCTATACGTATGTACTCACCTAGTTGTACTCACCTAGTTGTGTTTGCGGGGGTTGAGCTCTGGCTCTTTGGTCCCGCCTCTCAACCGTCAATCAACAGGTGTACAGATTCCTGAGCCTATTGGGCTCTATCATATCTACACTTGAAACTGTGTATGGAGTCAGCCTCCACCACATCACTTCCTAATGCATTCCATTTGTCAACCACTCTGACACTAAAAAAGTTCTTTCTAATATCTCTGTGGCTCATTTGGGCGCTCAGTTTCCACCTGTGTCCCCTTGTGCGTGTGCCCCTTGTGTTAAATAGCCTGTCTTTATCTACCCTATCAATTTCCTTGAGAATCTTGAATGTGGTGATCATGTCCCCCCTAACTCTTCTGTCTTCCAGCGAAGTGAGGTTTAATTCCCGTAGTCTCTCCTCGTAGCTCATACCTCTCAGCTCGGGTACTAGTCTGGTGGCAAACCTTTGAACCTTTTCCAGTTTAGTCTTATCCTTGACTAGATATGGACTCCATGCTGGGGCTGCAAACTCCAGGATTGGCCTGACATATGTAGTATACAAAGTTCTGAATGATTCTTTACACAAGTTTCTGAATGCCGTTCGTATGTTGGCCAGCCTGGCATATGCCGCTGATGTTATCCTCTTGATATGTGCTGCAGGAGACAAGTCTGGCGTGATATCAACCCCCAAGTCTTTTTCTTTCTCTGACTCCTGAAGAATTTCCTCTCCCAGATGATACCTTGTATCTGGCCTCCTGCTCCCTACACATATCTTCATTACATTACATTTGGTTGGGTTAAACTCTAACAACCATTTGTTCGACCATTCCTTCAGCTTGTCTAGGTCTTCTTGAAGCCTCAAACAGTCCTCTTCTGTTTTAATCCTTCTCATAATTTTGGCATCGTCCGCAAACATTGAGAGAAATGAATCCATACCCTCCGGGAGATCATTTACATATATCAGAAACAAGATAGGACCGAGTACAGAGCCCTGTGGGACTCCACTGGTGACTTCACGCCAATCGGAGGTCTCACCCCTCACCGTAACTCTCTGCTTCCTATTGCTTAGATACTGCCTTATCCACTGGAGCACCTTACCAGCTACACCTGCCTGTCTCTAGAGAGAGAGAGAGAGAGAGAGAGAGAGAGAGAGAGAGAGAGAGAGAGAGAGAAAGAGAGAGAGAGAGAGAGAGAGAGAGAGAGAGAGAGAGAGAGAGAGAGAGAGAGAGAGAGAGAGAGAGAGAGAGAGAGAGAGAGAGAGAGAGAGAGAGAGAGAGAGAGAGAGAGAGAGAGAGAGAGAGAGAGAGAGAGAGAGAGAGAGAGAGAGAGAGAGAGAGAGAGAGAGAGAGAGAGAGAGAGAGAGAGAGAGAGAGAGAGAGAGAGAGAGAGCGAGAGAGAGAGAGAGAGAGGGAGAGAGAGAGAAGAGAGAGAGAGAGAGAGAGAGAGAGAGAGAGGAGAGAGAGAGAGAGAGAGAGGAGAGAGAGAGAGAGAGAGAGAGAGAGAGAGAGAGAGAGAGAGAGAGAGAGAGATAGAAGAGAGAGAGAGAGAGAGAGAGAGAGAGAGAGAGAGAGATAGAGAGATAGAGAGAGAGAGAGAGGAGAGAGAGAGAGAGAGAGAAGAGAGAGAGAGAGAGAGAGAGAGAGAGAGAGAGAGAGAGAGAGAGAGAGAGAGAGAGAGAGAGAAAGAGAAAGAGGCGAAAGAGAAAGAGAGAGCAACAAAGACAGAGGCAGAGAGAGCGAGAGAGCGTGTGTACTCGTATATAAATTTTCTCAGCTAATTATACTTGCTGTAGTTCACCTTCAGCTCTTTACCGTAACGCGCGTACGGAAGCGAACAGAAAGTTTCGATTAATAACTGGACGCAAGCTGCGGCGTCTAACAGCCTGGTTGACCAGACCACCAGTGAAGAGGCGTGTACGGAGACCGGGCCGCCGGGACGTGGATCCCGAGAACAATCCCCCCAGCGTGTGTCTCAAACCTGAGTGTCACTTCGTGGGCTACCTGAGGGACACACACAACCAGCGTGGAGGGACACACACAACCAGCGGGGAGGGACACACACAACCAGCGGGGAGGGACACACACAACCAGCGGGGAGGGACACACAACCAGTGGGGAGGGACACACAACCAGTGGGGAGGGACACACACAACCAGCGGGGAGGGACACACAACCAGCGGGGAGGGACACACACAACCAGCGGGGAGGGACACACAACCAGTGGGGAGGGACACACACAACCAGCGGGGAGGGACACACACAACCAGCGGGGAGGGACACACACAACCAGCGGGGAGGGACACACACAACCAGCGGGGAGGGACACACAACCAGTGGGGAGGGACACACACAAACAGCGGGGAGGGACACACACAACCAGCGGGGAGGGACACACACAACCAGCGGGGAGGGATACACACAACCAGCGGGGAGGGACACACACAACCAGCAGGGAGTGACACACACAACCAGCAGGGAGTGACACACACAACCAGCGGGGAGGGACACACAACCAGCGGGGAGGGACACACACAACCAGCGGGGAGGGACACACACACAACCAGCGGGGAGGGACACACACAACCAGCGGGGAGGGACACACACAACCAGCGGGGAGGGACACACAACCAGCGGGGAGGGACACACACAACC